ATCTAACATTTTACATTTAAATATAATAATTTAGTATTATTTACTTTAAATAATATTTTATTCTGACATTAATTTATCTAATTTTTAATAAAAAAATAAAAAATAAGTTCTAATTAAATATAAATTAGAATAATAAAATTGGATTATTTTTATTAAAAAATCATGAAATTTTAAAAATTTAATTAGTGGTAAATCTATAGATAAATCAAAGGTGAATTAATAATAATTATTAGAATATTATCATTAAAAATTGTATTTTCTTCTAAAATAAAAAATTTAAAATCATGTAAAGATTTAGTAATTTTATCAAAGTTTTAATTATTAGATAATTTTGTAAATTAGATTACATATAATGAGTAAAATAGAATTACAATTGCAATTTGTAATATTTGATAATTTTGACTAAATAGAATTACTCATCATATGCAAAATAGAATTACTTATTTGAAAATATTTCAAATTTTTAATATATATCAATATAATTTTATATAAATTTATAAAGTATTTTTTTAATTATTAGAATATTAAATTTAATAATTTTTCAAAATTCCAATTTATTAAAAATTTCAAACACAATGAAAAATATTGGTTTATATTTGAAAAATCAAAGTTACTTTTTTGAAAAAAAATTTCAGAAAATATTAAAGAAGAATTTAATTCAGATATTATGGTAATATAATGTCAAGCAAAATTTAAAGGAATGGTAAAAATTGTAAAGTAAGTAAAATTTTAATTAAGAAAGCATATAATATAATTGTATAAAATAAAAATTATAAATAATCAATATTTTTAATTATTCTTTATGTAAAAAGAAATTTAAAAGGAAGATAAAGTAAAGTTAATAAGAAATATAGAGAATAATTTTAAACTTTTTTTTAAAAAAAAAATCTGATAAGTATTTAAAAATATATTCTGTTTGATATTTATATTAAAATTTAATTAAATTTAAACTTTTATTTTTAGTTTCTTGAGTAAAAAAAAGAAGGTGATTTTAATTAAAATACCATAAGTTTTATTATTTAAATTTATAATATTTTTAAACTAAATTTTAATATTTACTTTATTAGAAAATTTAAATACTTCTTATTCTTCACAAAAATATATGATAAAAACTGTATTTATCTTTAATTCTTTTTCTTTATAATGATTTGTCTTACTACAAAAATTTGTTTTACTACCTTTATCATTTAATATCAAATTATCATTTAAAATAAAATTTTAACTGTTACTTTCTCTAACTATTATCATTCTATTTTCTTTTTCATTTTCTCTTTTAATTTTTTATTCAGATTTTTTATAGTTTTTTTTTCAATTTTTACTAAAGAAAAATTTTTTTTTAAATAAAATTTATTATCTCTATAAATTTATTTTTATCTAAGATATAGTTACTGTATATCATTTATACATATTTTTTAATTAGAATGGTATTTAAGATTAAAAGTTATAAGCTAATTTATATCTAGTTAAGAATAAATATACTTTAATATTTAAAAACTTACACTGTAAAACTTAAGATTAGGTAATCATATAATTTTGAAATTTTATAATGGTTATATATCCAAAGGTTTAAACTTTTAGAAAATAAGATTTTTAAAGTATAACAAAATGTAAAAAAGGCATAAAATTAACTTTTTATTATTGCTTTTTTCTTTAAAAACTTTTACAAATTTTGCTAAACTCGAAAATGATTATAAAAGAAACTATAATTTGTAATATTACTTTTAATTTAATATTCTACTTTTATAATTAGAATTAGATCACTTTCTTTAAAGAAAAAAGAGAAATTATATAAAAAAATCACATATTGATTTATCTTTTTGTAATATTACTTGTCTTAAGCTAGAATAAATATAAAACAAATTAAATTATTATAATTAGGTTTAAAAATCTATAATTAAAACTTTGAACAGTTCAGATTAATTCAAAAATTTCAGTTTAGATCGACTTCAGTTCAGTTTTAAATTGCAAAAAATTAATCTGAAAATTTTCAATTTAGTTCAGATTTTTTTCAGATCATAAATCTAATTTAAATTAAAAAAAACTAAACTAAACTGAAAATTTCTAATTTTTTTCAAATAAATGATAAAAAAATTACTTGTTAAAACTAAAAATAGTACTGTAACTAGTTGTAATTAGTAATAAATAAGCATTACAGGATTGCAACTAGTTGTGATATTAATAAAAATTAAGTTACAACTAGTTATAACTGATGATAGATAAGCATTACATAGTTATAACTAGTTGCAATATTGAAATGATAATAATATTATTCTAAATAAATGATAAAAAAATATTCATTTAGAATGATAATAATGTTCTAAATGAACAATAAAAAAATTATTCATTTGAAATAATATTATTATTATTTTAAATAAATGATAAAAAAATTATTTATTTAGAACAAATTATCTGAAATTTTAAATTATTTTAAAATTTTAGTTCAATTTAGATTTTTACCAGTTTACAATTCAATTCAGTTTTGGATTAGCATTTTAAAATTAATAATTTGAATTGAAATTTTCAATTCAGTTTCTGATTATCCTATAATATAATCTAAACTGAACTACTCAGAATATTATTTACAATATAATCTAATAAAATAAGACTGTTTTTTGACTATAAAATTGTTATTTTATTATTATTATTTTTAGTATTTGCAAATGTTAAAATCTCAAAAAAAATAAGATTTTTAAAATAGTTATTTTTTTTATGAATTAATTACTAAATTTATTAAAAATATGTATTATATAAACTTTATTATCAAATAAAAAATATGTATTAAAAAAGAAAATAGAAGTTTATTTTTTAATTACATTTGTATAAAATTTCATTTTATATTATAAAGATCATTTTTGAAAAAAAATTTCAAAAATTGATTAAGTATCTTAAACCCTAATTTTTTTTAAAATCACATATTTAATATAACTCTAGATTTTGCTATACAGATCTTTATTTATAAATTTATTTTATTTATAGTTTTATTTTTTATTTTATTTATGTATCATTATTATAAAAACTTAAATAAATAAATAGAAATAATTATTGAATATTATAATTTGTTAAATATAAAGAATAGTAATAAATAATATTAAAATAATTTTTCAATTGGTATTTAGTAATATATTATTCATAAAATTAGAAAACTTTGATAGTTACAATTTATATGATTTTAATAGAAAGTTTATTATATAGAAGAATTTTTTATACAATATAAAGTATGTGTATAATTTTCAATTTTTTCATATGATAAAATATTTTAAAATTTTAAAATTTAAATTATAATGATAAAAGTATTTATATTTCATCATATAGGTTCATCATATAGGTTCTTTTGCAATAGAAAAGGAGGAAACTACTAAAAAAATTTTTTTTTGCTTTATAAGCTAAATATTTTTTTTTTAATAAAATAAGTTCAGATTTAACATTAACTCAAAAAAATTTTTTTGATAATTTTCTCACTTTCTATTGCAAAGAGTTCATATAATTATATAAAAAAATATTTTGATTTCGTTTAGTATCACTATATATTGTATTATATAAATTTAATATTAAATTAAGTTAATTTTTACTTTATAAATTTAATTAATTTAAAGGAATAATTTAAACATTGTATAAGTATAATACATTGTCTCTTTTTATTACTTATATCATACCCTCTTATTTTTTCATTTTTCATATATATTCTAGAGACTTACAAATTTTTTTTAAAAAAATCTATTTTTTATTCTTCATGTTAAATGTTATATATTTAAATTTTACCTAATATTATATAATTTTATCTAAGAGGTAATGTATATATATATAATAAAAAAATTTACTTTAATTTAAATTTTAATATTATTAATTAAACAAATAAAATTTTATATAATAAATTATTTATAATTATTATAATTTTAATTTAAAAAGAATTTAATTATAATAATATATTATATGTCTTATTTGTAACAAATTTTCTTTATCCAATCAAAATTTAAGTTCAAATGTAATGTAAATAATTTAACAAAAATTTTTTTAAAAAATTAGTATATTAAGTAATTTTATTTATAAAATATTTAAAATAATTTATTATTAAGAAAAATAAAAAAAGGTTATTATAAATAAAATATATAACATATTGTTATAAATATCATTTTAATATATAGGAAACAATTAATAGAAAAGGAGAAAATCTACTTTTTAGTCAAAAAATTTTTTATTAATTCACTCTGCTAAATATGATCATATAAATGAACTAGCTTAATAACTAAAATTATTTAAAATTTGTAGATTTTCTCCTTTTCTATTGATCATCTTCTATATATTAAAGATTTTTATTTTTATTTATTATTTTATTATAATTTTAAAATAAAAATTTATATTTATTATTAAACTATTATTTTATTATAATTTAATTTAAATTTTATCATATTTTATTAATTTTATTTTTTTTTATTAAATAATATTTAGTATAGAAGTAAATTTTTTTTTTTGATTTTGCATTTTTTATTATAAAGTACTTTATTATTATTATAATATTTATAATTTACAAATAAAATTATATTATAAATTATATAATTTAAATTATTTTATTTAAGCTTCATTAAAAATAAATAATTTATATAATTTTAATTAATATAAAATATGTTAATAAATAAAATAATATTATAATATGATCGATTTTCTTTTTGTCATCCGTGTCACACCCCTTCTTTCTTCATTTTTCATATATTTTCAGGGACTTATAAATTTTTAGTTAAAAAATCTATTCTTCACGTCCTATGTTAAATATCACATGTTTTAATTTGGCCGGAATTATATAATTTTGCATAGAGGCAATGCATCGCACGGTGTGATTAATAAATTTACTCTTTTATATTAATGACATAATCACATGATCTTTAAATATGGGGGTGCTTAATTACGGATAGATACTGTATAACTATTTATACAAATAAAATGGAACTAAAGCCTAAATATTGAATAAAAAAAAAAAAAGCCTTTACTGTAACCGTAAGTGAATCATGGGCCAAGCACTTTCTTCTTCAACGAATAATCCAGATCAAGATGGGGATGTTATAATGGTAGACGATTCGGAGAATAATACTGGTGATGCTAGCGATTTAGATTTTGGTAATAATCATACTGGAGCAACACACGCTCCAAGGAGACGTACTCAAGCCAGTCGGACTAACTCTCAGGATCGAACACAATTTACAACCTCTTCTACGTTTGAGCATGCACCTCAAAATGGTTCTCCGAGAGTTTTACGAATGACACCGGCACGACGCAGAAGACAGCTCTCTAGTTTGTATCCATTTTTTCCTTCTGCAACAACTACAAATCAAACTCAAATTCCTCTTAGCAGACCCTTAACTCGACTTCAAAGGTTACATCACAATACTATTGAAGATGTTTCACTTGCTCCTAGGCAAACCGATGCAATAGCACCAAACTTGTTGAGACGAAGTCGAACTAGATCTTCGACTAACAATGGGCAAGAAACTTCTACAAGCGTTGGGATAGCTCTTAATGATTCAGAGCCAGCCCATACTTTGCCAACTTCAGAAACAATGTTTGATATTAGACGTCCTCGTTCAAGTTCGGTTGATGCGATAATTATTGGTGATTTGGATAGTGATTCAACACGGCCAAATATTCGTCTCTCTGATCGCCTACGTCGATCTAACACTCATAGAGGATCTTCAACACGTCCTTATTCTTCGTCTATTTCTTTGTCCAGTACATCATCCTCTAACTCAAGTTCCTCAACAGCTGGTACTCAAACAGATCCTTTGGCTGCTGCTCCCACACAACAACGTTCAAGAAGAAGGGTTACTCGCATTTCAGCACGACGTTTTTTTAATATTGGCGGACAAGAATCTGAAAGCAACAGCAATAATAGTAATCATAATAACAATTACAATAACAATAACAATAACAATAACAATAATAATAATAATAACAATAATAATAATAACGAAGATATTGATATAGACAACCAACATTTAGGGCGATTTTTGTCCATTGCAGCAGCTGCTACGGCAGCATCCCTTGTTGCTAGTCAAGAAAATGCCGTAATTGAAGCTGAAAGAGCCGCTAACGAAGGACATGATGGAAGTTTTGAGAGTTTCTTAGCTGCTCTTCAAAGAAGACGTCGTGAGGCTACAAATAGGCCTACTAACCAATCAGCTTCATCATCATCTGAGGAACAAAGTCCCTCCACTGATAACAATACACCTGGTTCACAACCATCGCAACCTATGTCATTCTTCCGCTTGTTTCGCTTTGGTGGATCTCGTTCTTCCTTGACACAGCAAAATATCCCACCTGAAAATAGTACAGATACATCTTCTTCAATACCTAATGCGACAAATGAAACTAATTCAAGCAATACAAATAATGTCCCTCATATGGTTCCCGTTATCATTATTGGAATCAGAAGTGTTCAACCAAGAGATGATCCGAACGTTAATTCATCATCACAAAACGTAGATACTAGTCCCACTAATTCTGAACATAGAAATAATTCAAATCGATCATCAAGAACTCGGTCTTCTTCAACTTCAAGTCGTGCTTCCGCTAGATCTACTGCTTCAACTTCTACCCAAACCCCCCCTGCACGTTCGTGGATCATTTATGTTTTAGGAGGCACATATCCTTCTACTCATCCTATTCTTACTACACCATCATTATTTTCTGATAATCCAACTTATGAGGATATGATGTTGTTATCGTCTCTTATCGGACCAGCTCGACCTGCAACTACAACGCAAAGTGAGATCGATGCAAACTTACCAGTTGCAAAATATGATGAAAGAATTCGTGGTGTTAGAGGACATGATCTTTTAGGTAATGCAGAGAAATGTCAAGTATGCTTGTGTGATTATATTACAAATGAGGATGTTAGAGTGCTAATTTGTCGTCATGGTTTCCATCGAGAATGTATTGACAAGGTCAGTTCGTTAAATTTTTGGAGTTTTATGATTTTCATTTTTAGATTTCATTGCACATTATATTTATTACATTCTCAGTCGTTTGCACTTTCTCTCTCTCTCTTTTATTCTATATGTATAAATTATTTTTTGTAGTGGCTCACTGAGGGATCTAACAAGTGTCCTATCTGTCGTGGCGTTGGAGTACTGCCCCGTGAATCAGAAACAAATAATAATGGTGCTATCCCTACTACTTCAGCAGGATTGGATTCTATGGGACCTTTCTTTTAAGATTATTACATTCAATAGGATCAGACTCATTTTGATTGTCTTTTACGGACTATTATTAAATATATTGTGATTTATACTTTCTGAACTTTTTTTGATAGTAAATCAATTTTTGTTTCATCGAGTTTCTTTTCCTTTGAACTAGGTTTTTTTTTAAAAAAAAAAAAAAAAAATTTTTTTTTGATATTCTATATATGCTTTATTTTTATTGCGCGGCATTATATTTTTTTGAAGATCATTATATAACAAATCTTAGGCGAACTTGATTGATATATTTGTATTATTTTTTTTCTCATCCATTTACTGTTTTTAACCAATTAGTATTTTATGAATTAACAAATCAAAGAAAATATTAGATATCAAGTTCCTAAGGTTATAAAGTACAAAATTCATCTCATTTTTTTTTTTTTTTTTTTTTTTTTCTTCCAATTGTTATATATATTACTAAATTATACTTTAAAAAAAAGTTTATATATATATATTTTTCATAAATTTATTGATGAGCTTTTTTAATCTTATTTTTTTAATTTTTCTGTAAATATGAAGTAATAACATCTATTAAAAAGGGTAAAGGTTCTATTAGTATCGATTTATAGATTTAATTTCATTGTTAAAATAAAAATAATATTAACATAACCTGGTTTTTGTTCTTTAAAGAATAGGTTACGTCCAACTTTTCAACTTTCAACTTTCAATGTTCCTTTCTTTAAAAAATGTAGTAGAGCAATTTAGGAAATGATCGACGTTCAAATGAATTATATTTTCTTTTTTTACGCGTTCTTCATAATTTTCATAATTCAAGCTCCCGTTAACAAGATAGCAAAATATACAAATTCTTGAGAAATACAAATAAGTTTGGCCAAGTATATATATATATTTTTTTTTATGTTTTTATGGTTTTTATTTTATTTTTAATTTTTTTTTAAAAAAATGCACTTAAGGTTTATAATATAGTCTCACGAAGAGAAGGTAGAAAGGCGGGTTCTTCAGAAAAACTCAATTCAATATTACTTAAATCGTGTCAAAGGAGCCCTTATCGGTATACATATTTAGTAACAGTCTATACAAAGGTTTAAAACAATAATCAATTTCAATAGAGACTTTATCGCCCTATAGAAAACAGATGAATTCGCAACTTAAATATACTAGTCCACCACGAAGAAACGAGACAGAGGTTCCTATTCCATTATCCGAAACACCAGTGATAAGGAAGAATACAGATATCCGAAAACAGAAAAGAAGATCAAGCCTTGATAAGAGGGGAAAAAGAGCATCTTCGATCGGAAATGGATTTGTTGGTTTGTTGAAGATAACAAATCATGATGTCCAATTAAGCTTAATTTATTAGCTTATCATTTCATTTATATTATTATCAGCAAAACCACATCCAGATATTAGCCACGAAGAATTTTATCGTCATATTCAGCAAGACTTGCCTGGACCAATAAAGTTGAGACAACTTTTAAGTTGGTGTGGACAAAGGGCTTTGGAAAAGCAAAGATCAAAGGATGAGAATGCTCTTAAAATAGCAAAAATTGTGGAAGCTGACATTTTGAACGATTTGATGGATAGTAAAATAAATACATCTTGGTATCATCGAAATGTACGTTTATTTATCGTTTATTTATTTTTTTTATATGCTTTCTAGACGAAGATATTTATTTATATGAATTATGAAATTTCTTTTTAAAAAAAAAAAATGTACAAAGAATGATCAAGATCTACAAGTAAGAATAAAGCAGCCACATCAACAAAATGTTGAAAATCGAAATAAATTCGAAGAATTAAAACCAATATTTCAAAGGTAGTATTAATAAATGATTTGAATTTTGTCTTTGGATATATCTGCTGACACTTTTTTTTTAGATTGAAAACGGAAAATGAGGAATGGAATAATCTAATTAATGAGATCAATTCCTTTCATTCATCTATTAATAAGGCTGTTAAAAAAGTATCGCAAGGAAACAATAACATTTTCTTGGTACCTGATGAAGTAGATATGACGGTTTTGCATGTAGATCAGCAACAATTTTTACAACAATACTGCTCAGATAATGAAACAACACAATTGGAAAACAATTACTTTGAACAAATGATGCAAACCATTGAGATTAAAGCAAGTATTTTTTTTTTTTTTTTTTTTATAGATTTAAATTTAATTAAATATTCATTTAACATATTATTATATATATCAATCGTTCTTAAGGTGGATAATTTATATACAATACTATATAATGCATCCTCATATAATACTGCCACTCAAACTTATTGTGAAAACTTGTTGATTAAACTTTTGGCAGTTATTCGCAAACGTCAAGAAAAAAGCAGCAATATAAGTATCGAAACTGATGAGGTATTAAAAATGCTGTCTCGTGTTTAATACGTACCATTAAATAACAAATAAAAAAATAAATAAAAATTTCAACAAAATTAAAATGTTCTATTTTTTTAATGATGTTTAAATTTAAATAATTTTTTTTTTTTTATAAATATATATAAGTCATAATTATTACATTATCATTATGAAGATAAATTAATGTTTTTATCGAACAGAATGATTAACTTTTTTTAACAATATATATATATATATATCAACAAATATTTATATAATCCATAACAAAATTATACAACGATCCCCACTTCCAAGAACTCCAAAAAAAAAAAAAAAAATTATAATAGTAATAGGAGCATACTCTAATATATAGGTAAAAATATATATATCAATTATAATAAAGGTATCATACAATAATTCAGAAAATATGCTACCAAAATACAATATCTATACTGTTATGATTTTTTGAAAATTGCCAATAAATGCAATTGTGTAAATGAAATTTAAACGATTAATAAACTACTTATTTTTAAACTTCGATAACTCGAACCAAAATTACGCAATTAAAAAAAAAATTCGGCCGATAAATTGAAAGAAATCACTTAATTTATTGTTTTTTTCGGATTAGATCTTTAATTTTGCACAAATTGGGAGATGAGATAGGTTTAGAAGTCAAATAGTTTCTTCGATGACTATAGATGCTACGCAGCATATTCATTGTGTCAATTGAGTAGTAGAAGAATCACCAGCTTGATTTGCTTCCTGTATAATTATAAATTAAAACAATAAAAATTTCACGAGATGACAAAACTATTACAAATAAATTACTATACGATTAAGGATAACAGCATTAATTTATCACCTCATCAATCTGCATATATTCGCTCATCTCAGCATCCAATTCTTCTTGTGTCTTTTTTGGTCTATTATCAGCTCTGCGACTTCCGCGACCTCGACCTCTTGTGGAAGTGCCACGACTTCCTCCAGTACCACGTGTGGATGGACGAGATCTTTGATTTATAAATAAAGAACAAGGACAAACGTTAAAACGAATAAAAAAAAATTCCAATATTTCTAACCTTTTTTTACTTACTCATTGATTCCACCAATACGCTGAGTAATTGGACCAGCATTAGGAGCAACGACAATTTCGATCTTCATTTCACGACCTACTTATATTAAATTAAAGAATTAATTCATTAAATAAAATTTTATGTTATGCGATTAAACAATCACGCTTACCGTCAAGGGTAATATTTCTGAGTTTATCAACAGACCGTACGGCGTCGTTTTTCCTTGCAAAAACAACGGATGCGGTACCCTTCGAACGACCACTTTGATCAAAGTTAAGGTTAACTTGACGTACAGGACCGATCATCGTTGAGAAAAGTTCCTGGTGTTGTGAAGGGATAAAGGAAGTCGAAGTGCGTATGTGTATGGAGAGTGTTTTGTTTGCGATCAGGTGGTTTGTTTTTCAGTAGGAGTAACATCGTTGATCGGCTTGGAGAGCGTTGTAGAAAAGATTTCAGAATCTCCAGGCTCCAAAGCCAGATGGCGAAGAAGGGCCGTTGACGATAATTAATTCGTACAAGGGTTGCCTTTTCGCTTCAGGTTTATTGTTGACGGTAAACCCCAGCTTTGGCACCAAAAAAAAAAAGAAACTATTCGCCTCTTTCTGATTTTTTTCTGCTGTCTCTCTCTGTCGCACAACCGTCAACAGTTTGTAAAGTATTGGACATTTTATATAATAGTTACCCAAAGATCTGCCTCTGTGACTTTATAGGCGAGGTTTGAAACAAGAATTTTTCCTTCTGGTGATGCGTTAAGATTTGATGTTGTAGTAGCAGTATTACTGTAAGGTCGAGGTCTAACTTGTGGAGACCGAGGATTTCTGACAGGACCACTAGAACGTTTAACGATGCCACCGGTGCGGGTAGGACCACCTGTCCTAGCTCCTCTTGATGGTCTTTTTTTCGCAATAATTTCATCAAGAGACATGTCTAAACCTGTGGACGACATGATGAAAAGAGTACTTAGAGTGAACTTGGAAACTAAGGTGGATTAACGTATTCAGTGAAAAATATAAAGGGTAAAAGGAGATAACCGCACGGTATGTGAAAGAAATGTTTTCAAGATTTACTCAACGTTATTTGTTAAAAAAATAAGACCGACAAAAAAAATCAATGACTTATGAATGACATTAATTGAGGATTATTGGTTTATTTATTTATTGTAAAAATCATAATATGCTATTTTTGTTAATAATACAATTATAATTATAATGAACTATTTTGTTAATCAATTTATATAGTTGATTATATTATTACTGTTTTAATAATTAAAATTTTTAATTTAATAATAATTACAATATTATATTCCTATAAATCCATTTTGAAAATTTTATAATATAATTTTTTTTATGATTATATTATATTTATAATATTTATTCTAATTTTATTTATCTAAATTTAATATAAATATTTAAATACTAATACTTTTTCAAATAATTAATATATTAAATTAAATAATTAATAGTCAAAGCATATTTAAAAATATTATAATATAAAAAAGATTCAGATAAATACTGCAAATATATAGTAAAGCAATAAGTTTTAAATGAGAAAATCTATAATAAAAAAAATAGCAAATTTTAAAGATTAGTATAATAAAGAAATATTACAATCTTAAAAAGTTTTATAAAATTATATTTTATATTAACTAATTAAAAAAAAATCATATAAAAGAGATTTATAAAAGAAATAAATAAAATCTTTTAAAAATTTATGGTTTAGAATTTAAATATTTGTGAATATTTATTGAAATTATAAATATAATTTTAATAATTCTTATAAAAATAATCTTTCTATTAAAGTATAATTATAATTTTTATAATAAGTTTAAATTTAGCTAATTAAATTTATTAATTACTTTTAAACTTAGAATCTTTATCTGTAATTAATAAATTTATAAAAGAATATATTAGATTATTATAAATTTTTTTAATAATTTTAGCAATAATATAAAAAATAATATATTTTATTTATCTTTAACATTTATATTATTTGGAATATAAACTTTATATTTAAAATTATATTAATTATATTAAGATTGAATATATATATTACAATTAAAAGAATAGTATAATTAATCATAACTTTTAACATAATTAAATTTTCTTATTAGAAAAAGAATTTATTACTATTGTATTAGAAATTTTTTAATCAAAATTTATAATAATAAAATATTTAATAATTAAATGTTTAACAATAAATGTTGTAGAATATAGTTAAATATATACTAATTAAAAATTTAATTTGATAACTATAAATGCTTCTAAAATATATATGTTGATTATACTATGTGATATTTGATTTAAAAAAACTAAATATAAGCTAACTAATCAAGTTTTTCTTTAGTATATATAATGAATAATATAGTTATAAGTTAAAATACTCTTTGTAAGTATAAAATCAAAGAAAATAAGATGCTTAACCAATATAAAGTATATCTTGCAAAGCAACAAGAAAGCAAGTAGTAAAAAAATAAAAAAAATTATTAATTAGCAAATAGTATGTATAGTACATAATAATAAAAAAATATGTAAGATTAGAAATAAAAACAGATGAATATTACTTTAATAAAAAGATTTTTCCAAAAAAATTCTTAGTATAAAATAATATAGACCTAGATGAAATACATTATAAATTTCAAGAATTTTTAAAAATTGAGAAAATATTAATTGTTTGAATTTTTTTTATAATATTAGTATATAGATTTTATAAAGACTAATATGAGTATTATAGTAATGTAATTAACGTTTTTCAGAATATTTAAAAATTTGTCTCAAAGTTCTTTTAACATTTGTCATCATGAAATATGCTTATCATATATCATTAATTTACAAATTTAGAAGCATTTAGAGATTTTAAAATTAGTTATATTAAGGTTACTCATGCATTAGTTTAGTTAAAAAAGAATAATCATTATTATACTAACATAATTATTGATAATAAAGTTCTTTAATTTTTACCAATTAATAGTTCAATTGATAAATAATTTTAAAATATTACTGAAGAATTAGATCATGAAAATAATGATAATAATATGATTATACAAAGCTTTATTCCATTTCTTTCTTCTATAATAAAAAAAAATATTATTATTAAAAATACATTCAATCAAATATAAAATGAAATAACCTATTATATAGTTACAAATTAATAGTAATCCTATTAACAAATTTTAGATGTCAGGGTATATTGCATGTGTATTTCTATCTTTATATCTAACTGAATCTTTATGCAAAATATATTAGAGATATAAAGCCTACTGAAGATTTTAAGCATCTTCTTATATATAAGATAAAAGATTTGCATATTATGCTTATTAACAAAATTTTTACTTTGAATTTTTAAATACATTAGAAAACACTACAGAAAAGAAAAATATACATTAAACAAAATTCTACTGGTTTTCAAATTACTGTTATAGATATATAAGAAAGGATTACTTTGAATAATAATGCAATTTAAAGAAGAATTATATTATTAAATGAAATAATTCTTAAACTAATAATCAATATTTCAATAAAAATAGTATCATTATAACTGTCTTGATGAGAGCTTTCCAACAAATATAAGCTCAACCTGATTAGACCAATATTTAGTGAGATATTTTAAAATAATTATTAAATATAATTTTATAGATCATTACTAAACAGAGCAATAATTTCTTAACGCAAATTAGCGATCGACCAGTCAGAATTATGAAAATGATGGAAATAATAAAAACTATTATAATAACGAAACTGATGATAATGTTGTTAACGAATTTGAAAAACTCTTTCTTGCTCTCTACAATATCAAAAATTTTAGAAAAAACAAAATTTATTTTTCAAAGAAAAACTTTTATTTTTTATTAAAACTTTAATTATACAATATGTTTTTTGATATTTTTAAACACCTTTTCACTAAAGAAGTCTTAGACTTTCAAAAACTAAAACTACATTACGCCAGAACTAGAAAAAAGAGACTTTCTTATTGCAGAATTTCTCTCTTATGAAACACCAGAAGTTTTCTGGCTAGTCAGAAAATTAAACGAAGAATATCTTAAAGCTTTTCCAGCAGAATGTACTGCTCAAGAAATATTTCTTAATAATAATTTTATAGACAATCTCACAAGGTCTTGTACTTACAACATTCATAAAACTAGAACGAGCGATCATGAAACACACAAAACAGAAAATATAATCTCAAATATCATTGAAACTGCTCTTTCTCTCCAAAAAAATGAAGATATTATTTTGACTATTAACAAAGAGGACCTAAACTCACAAATAGACACGCTCAATGATGATGATATGCTTACAGATACAAATAATACAAGACACAATAATCTCTCTTCATCCCTAATACCTTCTAATACATAACAACCTTCTTTCACAAATCAAAACAAACTGTCACCAAACAATCATAATAAAATGAATAATAAATAAACTTAAGCGTCTATTACATAACTAAACAAAAATAATAATAATCTTAACGCATCTGTAGATCATAATCATAATAATAATAATATTGATGTGTCATTACACAATCTAATTAACAACACAAACAAAATCAAAAGTTACACAAAAATAATTTACACCACACTTTGAAAACTCTTTTCACATGATTTAACCTAAAAAAAAAGGAAATATTTTTACATCACTTTTAGCTTTTGCTATGCCTGGTGACACTAGGATAAACAAATTGAATTTTCTATCCTCTATTTTTTCTCATAAACCTGGATTTATAAATATAGACTGGAAATTTCATAACGGTAATGCCAATATCTTTATAGAATTTAACAATAGAAATTATTATTAGACGCTATAAATGATGCTTTGTTAAGTCATCCTGAACTTTTATTTAATTTAATAAATGATGATCCTTCTCCAAATCTTCATCACAACAATTTTACTTACAAACTAAAAGCAGTTCCTAGTAATATTACATAAAATCACATTAATAGAGCTCTTTCCTATTTTAGATCTATCACTTCTATTATAGACCAATATAGAGACCAATATAGAGATTGATATTTCTTATCACGTGATATTATTATTATGTTCGAAAAAATTAGAAAATTACATCAATTAAATACAGCTTGAACACATAATATAAATGGATACATTATTAGATGCGCGCATATTGACACTCTAATAGAAGAACTTAAAGACAGAAACTGTTACATAATTGGATTTAAAGGCTTCATGAACAAAATAACACCTTTTGATGCCTTCTGTACCTTAAGAGCATTTAATGCTAGATCATGCTATTTTCATAATAATATCACTTATGCTGTCTTTGCATCTAATGAAGATATGAATTCTATCTGTTCGTAAAAAATTATACATAATGGATATAAATTAAATGGAAGACCTAGAGTTCTTAATCGTTCTTATATCAAGCTGAATTAGTCCATTCATTAGATAACATTCCTTCTAGGTCTTCTGTCAACAATTATTCAAGAAAATGACGCTTCTCATTTAACAGTAATTTAAACAAAGGGAAAGGCAAAGATGTTGACTACACACTTTTTACTACATCACATACTAAAACTTTTAGCAACAGTAATTCTAATCCCTTGGATTTAATTTTATCAAAACTTTAGGAATTAGACTCAATTAAATCTTATTTGGTAAAACTAGATTCTCAGATCCTTGCCTTTACCAATCATAATGGGCCTATGATTCATCAATTATAATATATCTCATACTAGATGAATTATAGCTAAAGAGTATTCTTACTGATAATTGGAATACTTCTGATATTATTATAGATGTTACTTCTTTCTTAAATAATTAAATTTTTCAATTCTATGACAATAGATAAAATAATATTAATAAAATTGATAAAGATATTATATACACTTAGATGATGACATATGTAATAATATGATTAAAGGAGGCACAATTACATTCGCTATATACAATATACGAAGAATCAATAATATTACAGATCCTATTAAATCTTCAC